CACAGAGGGCACACCACATGAGGAGAGGGCAGCAGCCAGGCATGCACCGTACGCCGCACACCACGCACGACACACAGATGGAAGAGGGAGAAGCAAACAGGAGCGGCACACAAGGCTCCACCGCATGCACATACGGCGAGAGCGGTCCGTCGTGTCTGCATCCCTCACGGAGGGTACGCACACACACACGAGGAGGTGCAGCGCACACAGCAACACAAAAGCAAAGTAACAATAAAAAAAGAAATCCCCACACACCACGTGGATTGTTGGCCCACGGGAATCGCAGCCAACATTCATCGCAAAGCAACTTGTTGTCTTGTTTTTGCTGTATGCTGTTACAATAACGAGTGAGTAGCGCAAGGGCTGCCCGTACAAAAGTGGCAAGCATTCCGTCCAAAACGTGCCGTCGTGCGGGCTGGGGCACTCCCAAACACTCGCATTCCCAATTGCCAACGACGGGGGCATTTCTGCAGTGGATGAAGCGAATTCTTTCGTGGTCCATCTCGAGTACCCGCGGATGTGCTTCCTGCGTGTTTTGCCTGCTGGCATGCTTAGCGACTTCGGTGGCGACCTGTGCGCGAGGCGCCTGTTAAGATGACGGTGGCGCTATTGCGGCATCCGCATGTGAGGCCTTCCCAAACTATCGGAACGCCAGGCTGAGCACGTCGGGCATGCGCCCTCATACTGTGGACGGACGAGCGCACTCTGCCGCAGGTTGGGCAGGAGAACTTCAATCCGCCGCTCGCTGGTCGGCAAGGATTTGCGGCGCTCACGTCGGGAAGAGGTTCCGGCGGAGGCAGCGGCGGGCCAGTCTCCTCAGTGAGGGAGGGACGGCACCACCAAAACAGAGGGTTATTTGTGATACGGAGGGCACGCGCAGGCCTGTCGAAGAGTGGGCAGGAGTCGCACCGTGCCTTTGCGCAGTGCCGCCACTCGGGGCACGATGTCCGGGCCGTGCCAGGAATAGAGTCCCCGCCACACCGACAGGTGCCTGTCATACGGCGCACGCGCCCTTCCTTTTCTTCTGGGCATCCCTCCAGTACGGTCACCTGACTGCAGTAAAAAAGTCCACGTGCCAGATTGGGCCGCCCTCCTGCGGGAGGGATCGTGCAATCATGGCCTCGTCGTCAGCGGCCTCATTGCGTGGGATACCGCAGTGCGATGGAGAGAACGTGAAGTCTACAGAGCGACCTCGCTGTATCAAGGAGAGCAGCATAATCCAAATCTCTTCAGTGACGTAGTCTCGCACGGCCAGTGGAACGACGCGGGGTGCCTCAATTGCCGAGAGGGAGTCTGTTGCCACCAGGATTCGTGTGGGCGATTGGGATATTTCCAGACAAAAAGGTATGAGATGTATAATGCCATTTTCAGTGGCAAGGCACTCTGCTCTATATGAGTATGCGAGCCTGCCAGCTGCTGCACGATGGACCTCCACAGGGAGATCATTTGTCGTGGTGGAGCCATACAATAGTGCAGCGGATCCAGATGCGAGTTCGGAGAGAGAGGAAGAAACGTCTGTCCATAATTCAAAATCAAAATCTCCCAGAGAGGAGTAAATAGAATCAAGAGCCGTGCGCTTGACGTCGTCAGAGGCGTCTTGGGCAAAGCGTGGCTGATAAATTCCACTTTATTGCAGCGCACAGTGTCCCAGGGGAAAATACGATGTTGAATAGGAGGAGCGCGATTGTGGCTGTGGGGTATCCCAATAATATTACATACGCGGCGCGATCCATTAATAACAGCATCCTCGGAAGCGGGATTGATGTCGCCGCTTTTCACGCATGGACGGCGGCATGACCTCCAATCATATTGCGCCACACACTTCCTTAATACATCGGAAAAGTGTAAGGCGTTCGTGTTGTGTGGGTGCAAGAAGCCAGAGTATCCTCCGCAGCGGTGCTGGATTGGCGGCCAGGTGGACAGAAGTATCCTTCGCTGATGCGCGTGGGCCGGACACGGTGCGATTGCCTCGCCGCTGTGGTGCGACGCACTGTGGACGCACCCAACCAGAAAGTATCGCGTGGTGTGCTGGGTCGCACCAGCCTCTGCACCCAGCCGCAGCTGATGGCGGCGTGGCACGGTCCGCATCGCAGTCCAACTAAAGCATTGTTTTTTCATTTGCATTGTGGTGTGTGACGAAGGCGCGTAGGAGCTTCCCGATGTGGTTGGAGACTTGCGATTCTGAAGAATGCGTTGCAGTTGCACAGCGTCGTTTTGAGGAGAAGGTGAGTGCCTCCGCATTAATCAGCAAACAACATCTCGGATGACAGCAGGAGGTACTGCGGTTTCTCCTTTTTGTCGCACAGCGAATTTATTGGACGGTGTGTTTGGTTGGCAGCTCTTGTGGGAGAAGGTGGGAGGCTGAGGGCATTAGGACTGAATTCATTGAGTGGCAGCATTCCGCTGAATTGCGGCCAACCGTGGCAGCCTTTTGAGGTTTGGCAGCTGTCTCTTTTGCTTACTTCCCACCGCAGCAGGTGGATAACACCGATCCGAGGAACATTTGTTTGACCGCGTGTGAGCTGCTGCCGTGCGTGGTGCATGGACTATTTGATTGCGTGGGGAGGTGCATTGGAGTGACGAATACTTCTGTTTGGCGTGTCGCGGTGTGTTGGAATGATGTTCGGAAAACATGTGAAGGTGTTGTTTGTGATTTGTGTGTCCTCTCTGGTGGAGCCGACATGTGTGCGGGATTGTGGCATTGCTGGCTGGCAGCTCCACGTCACTTTTCAGCATTTCTGGATGTGCTGAGGAATGACGGCTGGCGACCAGCGTGTTGGTGCTGCTGGTGGGAATAATTGCATGAGGAATATGCCGTTTTCCCCTCCCCTTGCTGGAGCCGATGAAATGGCACGAGGGCACCGGCTGCAGGCTGCCTGCCAGCACGTGTGAGCAGCGGATCCATGCACGCACCGACGCTCATCGCAAGAGCGTGTGCGATCACGGTGGCCTTTTGTGGCGTGCTTTTGTGGACGTCAGCCTATCGGAGAATGTGTGAAGCAAACGGCTGACTGCACACGAGGAAAATAAGTGCGTGCACTGTGCCGTGTTTCATCGTCGATGGCAGAGCGGCAGGAGGCCTGTGCTGGCAACTGAGATCTTTGCGTCGCGAGGGATGTCGGTGTTGATTTTGGATTGTCGAGGGTGAAGTGATTTTGCTGCTGCCCGTGTGTGTGGCCACTCCGGCGGAGGGCGGACACAAAAGGGAGGGATGCAGGCATGAAGGCTTACCCTCCGCAAAAACACGAACAACATATGCAGATATCTTCCACCCTCCAAAAAGAAACAGAAATAAATAGTTTCCTGCACTCTTCCATTCCTTGTGCTCATTTTTGAGTGTGCTGCTGCTGCTGCTGCGGTGCCCGGCCTGTATGAAGTTGTGTGCGCTGAATATGAACGAGGGCCAAAGACAACTAAATTATTTTTGCGATGAATATTGGGTGGACTTCCCGTGAACCAACAATCCACGTGGTGTGCGGGGATATCTCTTTTAATTGTTACTTTGCTTTCTGTTGCTGTGGGCGCTGCACCTCCTCGTGTGTGTGTGCGTACCCTCCGTGAGGGGCGCAGACACGACGGACCGCTCTCGCCGTATGTGCATGCGGTGGAGCCTTGTGTGCCGCTCCTGTTTGCTTCTCCCTCTTCCATCTGTGTGTCGTGCGTGGTGTGCGGCGTACGGTGCATGCCTGGCTGCTGCCCTCTCCTCATGTGGTGTGCCCTCTGTGTGTGTCTGCCGCACCTCTCGTCTCCCCTGTTGCTTTCCATGTCCCTCACTGTGCAGATCAGCTCCACACCACTGAACGACCACACTCACGATGATGACGCGCCGTCTGCTGTGCGCCCTGTTGGTGCTTGCCCTGTGCTGCTGCCCGTCTGTGTGCGCCGCAGACATTACCCGACTGAACCACAAACCGAGGGCAAAGGCGCCAGCCTGCCGTCCACTACATCTGGGATTAAGCCTAAGTCTCAAGATCATGTCGAAGCAATTCAATTGACCTCTCCAGAAGAAGGCACTAGTCTGGATCCGAGAGCTGACGTCGATGTGTGAGGAAAGGCAACCAGTCCGTCCGGTGCAGCAGAGGGAGAACTTCGGAGCCGCGGTGAGTCAGGTTCACGGAGCCAGGAGTCCGGTGCGGCACAGGGAAACACCGCCAGTTCATTGCCACCTGCACCAGCCACTGAGCCTAGCAAGAAAACTGAGACAGATCCGGGGGATAAAGATAATTCTAAAAAGATCGTGACGCCTGAGAACACCTCCGAGACGACCACCACAACAAAAGCACCAACGACAACCACCACCGCGTCCGGGGCAACAAGTACTACGACCACAGAGGCGCCAACCACGACGACCACCCGCGCACCGTTACGTCTTCACGAAATCGACGGCAGCCTCAGCAGCTCTGCGTGTGTGTGTGCCCCGCTGCTGCTCGCCGTGTCCGCGCTGGCGGACACCACTGTGGGCTGAAGAGGTGTGTGCGGGCTGTGCGTGCCAGCACTCAATCACGAGGATTTGTGCGCTTCTACTGTGGTCCGATGTAAATAAATAAGAGAAAATGGTGATTGTGTTTCGCTTTATTTGCTTCCTCTGCCCTGCTGTGTGCTCCTTGCCGTTCCCTGTATCCGTCACGTTGAACGCATCCCAGGCACACTCATACGCATGGCACGCACACAACTGTTTGCGTGAAATCACATTTGAGGATAGGTTCATGCACACTGGAGCCATGCTGTGCAGCCCCTTGTTTTTTGTGTGTGTTTTTACATTTTTACTTCATTGCTGCTTGTTTACCTGTGTTTTGTTTCTAATTGCTTCGTGTGTTTTCTCTGTTTACTTGCTGTGAGGCGTTGTGTGTGTTTTTGCCCTTTCACTGCTTTGCTGCTTCTGGGCTGCTGCCATTTGTCACTGTATTTTACTGTGTGACTTGTCTCTTCTTTTTTTGCTTTCACTCTGCGTTGACGTGTTGTTAGTTTGTGCTGAAGGCTACACGCAAGTGACAGGAGTGATGGCGATGATGATGACTGGCCGTGTGCTGCTGGTGTGTGCCCTCTGCGTGCTGTGGTGCGGTGCGGCCGATGGAGCTGTTGTTTTTTCTGGTGGGGACGACAGCATTCTGAAAGAATTATTTTTTCCAGTTACGAGATTGCTGTTAAGACAAGAACAAAGAGCAGCAGAAGCAGCAGCTGACGCACAGGCAGCAGCAGAAACAGCAGCAAAGGCGGCAGCAGCAACAAAAGCAGCAACAGAAGCAACAAAAAGAGCAGCAGAAAAAGCAAAAGAAGCAGAGGCAGCAGCAGAGGCAGCAAAGGCAGCAGCAGAGGCAGCAGCAACGGCAGTAAAGGCAGTAGACGCAGAGGCAAAAGCAAAAGCAGCAGCAGCAGCAACTGAATCAGCAGCAACAAAAGCAAAAGCAGCAGCAGAAGCAGCAAAGGCAGCGGCAGAGGCTGCAGCAAAGGCAGCAGCAGCAGCAGCAAAGGCAGAAGAAGCAGAAGCAGAAGCAAAGGCAGCAGCAGAGGCTGCAGCAAAGGCAAGAGAAGCGGCAGAAGCAGCAAAGGCAGCAGCAGTGGCAGCAGCAGGGGCAGCAGCAGAAGCAGCAAACGCGGCAACACTAGCAGCAAAATCAGCAGCAAAAGCATCAGCAGAAGCAGAAAAAGCAGCAGCACAAGATGAAACAGAAGAAGCAGCAGCAGAAGCAGCAGCAGCAACACTAGCAGCAACATCAGCAGCAAAAGAAGCAGCAGAAAAGGCAGCAAAAGCAAAAGCTGCAGCAGAAACAGCTGAAGCAAAAGCAACAGCAGCAGAAAAAGCAGCAGCAGAAAAGGCAAAGGCAGCAGCAAATAAAGCAGAGACAGCAGCAGAAGCACTGCGAGGTACAACAGTCGGAGAAGAGGAGGTAAAAACAGCAATACATAGTCAGGATAATTCAGTCGAACACCACTCTGGAGAAAAACAAGAGCTTCTACAAGAAGAAGAACCGGAACGACAAGAAAAAGAACAGCATGAAAAGCAGCAACACCAACAGCATGAACATTCCGCAGGAAATGGTGAAAAATCCGCGAAAGACGAAACTGCTAATGGAACAAATGCAACCGCAATTAAGAACGACAGTGACAGCAGCACCGCGGTCTCCCACACCACCTCCCCTCTTTTGCCTCTTCTTCTTGTTGCGTGTGCTGCTGTTACTGCGGTGGTGGCCGCGTGAGAGTGTGAGAGAGAGCCGTGCACCGCCCGCACACACACTCGTCCTTCTCTCTCTCTGTGTGTGTGTCCCCTTGCATGGACTCTCGCCCTCACCTCACCCCACGAGGCACACACAATAATGTGCCCATTGTATATATGCATGCACACCCATGCAGGCCCGTTGGTGCTCTCTTTTGCACGACACGCACCGCTGCCGTCCTGCCTGGCTGCATGGACGGAGCACCGTAACTGTTTCTGTTTTGTTTTTATTGCATTGAGTGGGCGACCTCTCTCTCTCTCCCTCTGTGTGTGTGTTTTGCTTTACGGGAGCAATGAGAGTGTGTGTGCGCTGGTCGTCCCACGCTTCGGCTTTTTCTTTTATTGTAATTTTTTAAATTTTTTTCTGTTTGCTTTAAAATTTTTTGCTGGCCTTTTTTTCTTATTTATTTGAGCGTATTTTAAATTTAATTTAATTTGTGCTTTTTTTCTTGTTTTAAATTTTTTTAAATTTTTCTGTTCTTTTGTTTCCTAATCCCTAATCCCCACATCTCTCCTTTTCTTGCTTTTGGGGCAATCACTATGGACGTTCTTTTCTACTCTTCCCTCTTTTAATTGTTTGTTGCTGCACTCTTCCTGTGAGGGGTGCCGTGTGTTTCCGCCCAACTGCTCCACTCGCACACCACCGACACGCTCATGACGACGGCCCTGTGCGCCTCGCCTGCTGCACGCATGAGGAGGGGCCGCGACGAACGGCGCGCTGAGGGAGCCGTGACGTGTGGGCGTGCGAAGAGGGCCTGTGGGGCGGAGCACACATTTCTCTCCCTCTTGTTTTGTTTTCTTGCGGCCAGGGCTGGCAGACACCCGCAGTGCCACACACACAGCCACACCCTGCCGCCGTGTTTTTCTTTAAGGATTTGTTTTGCTTTGCGTGTTTATTTCATGCGGTGGCGCACCCTTCGGTGTCGGCCTCGTGAGCATTTCTCTCCCCTCCGATGATTTCTTTTTCTTTTGCTGCGCTCACTCTCCCGATGGAGTGACGCGACTCCCGTCATGTCTGCGTGCTTCTCTCAGTTCCACACACACGAGTGACTGTGCTCTGCGGGCCGCACTCACGCGCCGATGAGAGGGATGAGGGGAGCAGCAACACGCAGATGACCCCATGAAATATAAACGATGTGCGGACACGCGGAGGGTCAGACGGTTGAAGCACACGTAACCACCTTTTAATTTTCTTTTGCGGGCAAAATACATACAGACAGTTTGGTGTGGCCACACGGCTGCCAGGCGATCTTTTTCTTATTTTAAAATTTGTGTGGAGCAGTAATGGACGATTTCTTTTCATTTATAATTATTTTGTGTGGTGGGGTTTACATAAGATGACGGGGGACGTTTTTTTGTTTTCAATACATATTGTGTGAATTGCCGCTGCTTGGGCTGCAGTGCAGTGATGAGTTTGAGCGGTCTTCTTGTTGTTTCCGCTATGCGTCTCCGCTGTACATTTTGTGCGTCCCTCCACATACTCTGCTCCCTCTTTTCTACGTCTTTGCTTTGTGTTTCTGCAGGCACACACAACCACACACACAAGATGCACATTGCAGTGGATTTGAATGCACCTTTTGTAGTGCATGCTGGCAGTTGCGTGTGGCGGCTGTTGTCTTCTTCCGTGGCCATGAGGAGGGGGAGAGAGGGAGTGCACCCCGAGTCTATTTTCCTGTGGGTGTGATGCACCGCGTGTGACTGCGCTGAGTTGGGCTCCGTGTCCCATTGATGGCGGGATGGCAGGAATTTTTGTGCCGCGTGATGGATGGATGAGGGTTCGCTTGCTCCGTGTGCGTTGTGTGGTGGCCGCGGGGTTTTTGCCATTTCCCTGGGGCTGCGGGAATGAGCTGGGGGAGATGGTGGTGGATGTCTTCTCCTCCTGCATGGTGGGTGGCTGCTGGCGTTGTGTGCCTTCCTTGCATGGATGCCGTCTCGTGGTGTGTGGACTGTGCGGCTGGGCCTGCTGCCCTCTCCTCATGTTGTCTGCGCTCTCTCGCTGTATCCGTTGTGCTCCGTCCCTCTCCCTCTCGTTCCATTCCTTTCCTTCCGTCTCACCGATCAGCTGACTGGCACCAGCGACTCCGCTACGGGCGATGATGACTGCGATGGTGACGGTGCGGCGCCGTGTTGGTCCTTGCGCTCTTGTGCTGCTGCTGCTCGTCCGTGTGCGTGACGGCGACAGGAGACGATAACAATGATAACAGCCGTCCTCCCAGCCCTGAGCTAGGGAAACCGGATCCTACAAAAATATGCCTGGTGCATTACGGCTATATGGTGGGGAGACCGGTGGGCCACAGACAGAGAGTGGGAGAGACAGCGAGGAGGGTTTGAGAATTCCGGGACCTTCGTTGCCAAAGGAAGCAGGCACAGCCATCACTGGACAGACACGAGTTCCACCAGAGTCACTGAGTTCGGCTAGCGATAATCCAGAGCCACCAGGTTTGGCAACTCAGTCTCCACACACACACAAGGTGCGACCGGTATGTCAGATGCACAAAATAAAAAGGCGCAGTAAAATACACGAGGCGATGAGAATCATAAGGCACCGACATCAAATCAGAAGATCAAAATGCCAAATACGACCACCAATAAGACTACAACAACGCTCTGGGTCAGCCGGCCACCTCAACGTGGTGCCAGGGTGCAGCACTCTTTGCTAGGGATGAAGCTAAGCGCCTGCGGCCCATCCGCTGCGCGCGGAGAGGTGGCGGACGCCGAACAAGCGGGTCGGAAGGGCACCAGATGGAGCCATTTACATGGCTGCCCGCGGAGCGGTATTTTCATCCGCTGCTGAATTCCATCGGCGCTTATCAGCGCTATACATACCGTTTGCGTGCCGTATGTGACGCGCAACAACAAAAGCTACCGCTAAGCGGAGACATTGAGCAGAACCCAGGCCCCATAGCAGTACTCCAGATGAACGTTTTTTTGCCTCACGCCGTCAAAACTCGCAACATTAATGGCGCAAGGAGCAGACATAATAGCCATCCAGGAGACTTGGAAGTCGTCAGAGCAGATCACCAGCATGCACACTGGAGATTATTTGCTCTATGCACAGTCGCGCATCGGCAATGGAGGCGGTGTGGCGGTGCTGGTGCGTACGACTCTCCGCTCCAAGCGTATACCTCTCACCATCCCTCAGCACGACACCAGCCTTGGAGTGGTGGTGGTCCAGGTTGCTCTGGACCAGAACCGTGATCTTATTGTAGTGAGTGCCTATATGAGACCACCACCGCAACTAACGCAATCCTTCAGGCGGTTAGTAAACTGCCTTCCAGCCTCGTCGCCGCTCCTGCTGTGCGGGGATTTCAACATGCATCACCCACAGTGGGAGCCATTCTTGGAGACTTCTCCAAGCGAGGTTGCTGCAGAATTTTTAGAACTGTGCACGGATGCGGGACTCACCTTGGTTAACACCCCTGGTGAGATCACGTATGCCCGTGGCACAGGAGAAAGATCCTGTATCGATCTGACATGGTCAAAGCATTTGACTGTGTCGGATTGGTCAGCTTCTGTGTCGCCGCTTAGTGATCATTATATGCTGACATTCACGCTGCATCAGGCGTTTAAGGATACCATACCTTCGGCACCTAGGATATTCCACAGTTGGGGGAAGTGCAAGTGGGATTTATTCGTCAAGGACTTCGACGCACAACTTCCGGCATATGACTATAAGAAGCAGTCCACCGGCATTAAGGCTTTCACGAGAGCGCTTATAACTTCGTATCGACGACATTGCCCCCGCGGCATGCACAAGGACGGTCCCAGGCTTTGGAACGACACTCTCATGGAGGCAGAGCGGATTGCTACCGACAGCAAGGCCCGCTATCTACAGTCACCGACGCCCGACCGTGAGGCAGAAATGCAACGGACAAGGAGTCAATTCTTCCTCCTACTCCGAGAGCGCTTGCGCAACACGTATCTACGCCGCATCAGCAAGTTAAATCCAGGCGAGCCACTCGCATGGAAATACATTTCCGGACGAAAAAAGGCATCACTTCCACCTCCAACATCAATTTTATTAGGATATGGTCAACACACTTACAAAACAGCAAGGAGAGCAGCGAATGCTCTCAATCGCATCTTCTTTCCATTCCACCCCTCTCACAAGGCAGTTAGGCCTTCCAAAGGCATCAACAGACAGAGTACATCTTTGAACATTGGTTCTTCACTCTTTTTGGACCAGAGAACAACAACGAGTCTGCCGCTACATTTACTTCAGGTTCTTCACTCTCATCTAGTTCTGAGCCACAGGATAAAAACGAAGCTGCCACCACATCTGGTTTAGTTGCTCGTCTTCACTCCCCTCTTGATGCACCTTTTAATTCTACGGAACTGCTTGCTACGCTACGTAATACGCCGTATGGCAAGCCCCCGGACCGGATGAAGTCTGCAGTGAGGCACTGCGACATATTTCGTCAAAGGGCCTTCGATTCCTTCTTCGTTGCATTAACCGCAGCTGGACGACCGGTACGATTCCGGCTGAGTGGAGACGCGCTACCATCGTTCCACTCTTAAAACCCGGCAAGTCGCCGGAACTGCTTGAGTCATATCGACCCATCAGCCTTACCTCCATTGTGAGTAAGGTTGCTGAGAAAATGGTACTGAAGGGATTGCTTTGGGTGTGGACGCCACACCCCCACCAGTATGCATATCGTAGCATGCGTACCACGACGATGCAGCTGGCACACCTGATACACGAAGTGGAGCATAATAGAAATCACTATTTCCAAGTGAGCCTTCCCAAGAAGAGCGGTATTGGCAATCAACTCCACTACAGACCCCATCGGACCCTGCTGGTGTTGGTTGATTTCAGCAAGGCCTTTGACTCCATAGATCATCGAGTCCTCAGTCGCTTGCTGGCTAATATTCCGGGGGTGAATTGTAGAGGGTGGCTTAGAAACTTTCTATTTGGTCGCTATGCGATGACACGAGTTGGCCGCAGACACGGCGATCGGCGTCCCATGCTGCGAGGAGTTCCTC